CTCTCTCTATCTATCTATCTATCTATCTATCTATCTATCTATCTATCTCTCTCTCTATCTCTCTCTCTCTCTCTCTCTCTCACGCCCTCTCTTCCCCCTCCCTCTTTCGTTCACTCCATCTGTGAATGTGCGTGTGGGCGCATGTGTGTGTGTGTGTGTGTCTTTGTGTGTGTGTATGTGTGTGCACTTGTGTGTATGCACTTGTGTGTGTACGCTTGTGTGCATATGTGTCTTTCTTACTATCCGTTTCTATCTGTCCTCAAATAATATGCCGTTTAATCTCTTGCTTCAACCTACCCACCCCCCCCCCAACAAAAAAAAAAAAACCTTCTCAGTTCCCATCAAAAATTAAAATCTATTAGCTAGGACCAAGACAATCATTTGGGAACTACTAAAAATATAACAAAAGAGAAGAGACAGATGTTCTGAAAGGATTGGGGAGAGGGAAGGGGTGGTGGGTGGGAAAGATTTGGATGAAACTCATAATTCAGACGGCACATCAAACTAGCCTAGTTAACTCCCTCCCAAGTAAGTTTGTTTTTATTTTGATGATGATGACGACGACGACGATATCAAGTTTTGAAAAGTCTGCTGCTACTGCAGTGACGCAAATAGTGTATGCGTAAGCAGTATAACAACTCAACACTGCTCACTTCAAAGTCAAGCTTACATTTCCCCCCAAAAATGCGTATTTTGCACCGTAAGATGAATATAATTAACTTTTCTTAAACGTGGGTGGTGAACTTCCACGCTCCACATTAGCTGTTGTTGCTGCCTCGTGTCAGCCTTGTGCTGTGACCAGTGGTGGGTTTGTTTTTCGTTTTTGTTTTTGTTTTTTGTGGGGGGTTGGGGGGGGGAGGGGTTCAGATATTCAGCACTCTTCGTTTTGAATTGCTCGTTTTGGTTTATTTTTGATATTGTTGATGTTTTCGGGGTTTTTCTTTTGTTTTGTTTCGTTTGTTTGTGTTTTTGTTTTAATCTTTGTTCTTTAGTGTGCGTTTGCACGAACGCATCTCTTCTCTCTCTCTCTCTCTCTCT